ATTTTTAAGTAGAATTTCGCAAAGCTTAGCTTAGTGCACTATGCAGTGTGGCCAGGAGTTACCATCTTTTAAGTGAATGCTTATATCACAGAAACAAAACCAGATTTTCCTACTGAGAAAGTGATTATAAATGAAACTTTCCATGCAGCAAGTTCCAGATCACGCAGGCTACATTGATCCCATATAATAGTGCCTGAAACAAGTGGTACTGGCAGAATTGGTTTTGAGTTTCTACACTTGAGTAAGCATAATTAACCCCAGTAAGATGAACTAGAGCAACACTGTTTAGTTCCTACCATGGAGGAAGTTAGCAGTCACAGCGAATTACAGGTTGTGTACAAATCACCATGCACAAAGGCAGCTATTCTGCCACTTCAGTTCAGGAGAACTGGGTACATTATGAGATACTATTCTTTTGTAAGATGATACAGGTGATGATGTGGCTGCATTTTTCACAGATCTATAACTATTACCACTAGGAATGGCCATTTCAGTAACCTGCTTGGACGTCTTATGTATTGCAGGCCATAGATTTAACCTGATTACTCCTTCATTTTAGAGCAATAATTTCTGAGTGAACTAGAACATACTTTTCTCTTTTCTTGAAATGCATCAGTCTTGATTTAAAGTCTCTGCAGTGTTAAATATAAATGTTGCCACTGTAAATTCCAACTCAATTATATTTGCCATTATTTTATAACAGCGGTAATATTTCAGAGGAATATAGATATCCCTTTATTTCACATTTTGGTTGCCCTGTGTTGACTTCAGTCTTTAGCCCTTGTGGTTCTGGTGTATGTCTGTCTGCTAAATGAAACAACCTACGGTGCCACATATCTTTCACGTAAGCTATTACTGACCGGTCAGCCTGGTGACTGACTAATCTGTCACTGATGCTTCTGAATATCTTTAACTCTGCTGTGCAGCATCCTGACTGCTTTCTATAATTTGGTAGATCTATTTTACAGCATCCAGAGAAGGGAAGTGTTCTCTTGGCGTGTCTCTCTAATTCTTTATAGGTTTTGAGTAGATCTCTGCCAATTAAAAAAGTATTGTTGTGTTTATGAAAGCTGGTGTGCAATTGAAAATGACAATATACAACATCAGCTTCTCCCCTGTGCATTCTGTTTAGAAAGCTGGAGCCTAGTGGTGTTTAAGCAGGCCACATACATTTTTCTGGCTGTCCCCTCATCCCTGAAGCTTTCTCAGCAATGAGCAGGGAGTAGGATGCGTGCAGCATGTAGGCATCGTTCTGGCTATTCCACTTCAGTGACTAAAGAGTATGTAGTCATGTTGGCTCATCTGGATTTTGGTTGTTTGATGGAATCACTGTTAGTCCCAGAGGAAAACTATGCCCGTGAATACCTGGCTTTATATGGTAGAGAATATTGCCCTTGATTTGATAAGAGGTTATGGGAAAGTAGTACTGCTTATCTATGTGTTACTTATGGGATTTGGGATTTGATAATGGTTGGAAAGAAAAACGATACAGAAAAGTTCTTGGTATGACTCAGGAAACTTAATGTAATACCCTTTTGTCTTGCTATATATTTATTTTAAATAAAACAGCCCCTTTATCTTACTATATTCCAGAACCATTATTACAAAACAGTGTCATGCTTTTATTTATTCTTTATTTTTTTAGCAAAGTGCTATAGCTGCCTTAAAAGCAATCTACTCTTCTGAAAGAAACTATTTATCAAAAAATTATCAGCCTAGGTGACAAGGGAAATTGTTTGCACTTTACTAGTGCCAAAGGGCTGATCTAATAAAAACAACTCTTGAAAGTCACCTCCGTTGCATTATACAACTACTAAGAAGGCAATGGTCATGACTGCAAATGAATACCTGTGATATTTCATGCTTCTTGCAGCAAAATAAATGTTCAGTGGCTTGCTATATGTGGTTTTACATCTGTATATAAACCATATGACACCACTAAAATAATTTTGATTGGAGTTTTATGCACCAGTGCCTTTTTTTTCCCAAAAATATTAATAACTTCAATCTAGCACACACTCAAACGTAGGAGCTGCTCCTGCAATTGGCTTTATTAAGGTCCTACTAGGGGCCAACAATCAGCATTAGCTTGATTTCAAAATTAGCGATGTACAATTTAGGACTGCTAAGCTATAGGTTGATACTATGTTCAGCGTTGTCCAAACAATGTAATTAATATGTAAAGAAGCCGGAAATAACCCCCGAAAACCTATTTCTCACGTATATAAACGTGAAAATATACTTTTAGGTAAATTTGATATTTCTCAACAAAAAGAAATACCGTAAACTTAAACTGCACATGTTTTTTGCTTTCTTCAAACAAAAGTATTCTGTGGCCGGACACTAATTCCCACGAGACCACCTGGCAGGAGCACGGTTGGTCTTTCCCAATGGCTGTTGGTGCGGCTTCTCCAGTGTGCAGCCACAGAGGAGTGGGAGTTAACAGCCAGACCTCATCATTCATTGCATTGCTTATGAGCTGCACCAGCATTTGTATAGTGCTTACCAGGAACCATCACTTTGTGGGACCGGTGTAGTGCAACATCCAGACCAGCTCAATGTATCGGGTTTTATTAGGGAAATTTTCTTTCAGCTGTCACTGGCTTAAGTATATGGTTGTTGTTTGTTTTTATTTTATTTTAATTTTATTTTCTTTTTCCTCCCAGTCTGTTAATCAAGTTGCCAGCTGTTTGTTTTATTTTCTTCTTTTTGTTCAGAAATATAAAATACGTTATTGATACTGCTTTTATACCTTGAAAGTGTTTTGAAGTACAATTATTTGGACAGCTCCCTGTATTGGACAGCTTTGTTCCATTTCATCAAAAGGAAAGTGTGGGTACAGATCTTCATTCAAACCACCAGTGATTTGAAGAGTGGCTTGAAGTGGTTAACAAACTGAAACTAATTCTTACAGGACAGATGAAGGAACTTGTTTAAAAACCTAAGAGTTTGCACAGATCTTGTCTCATAAATTATTCTTTCTTGCTCCCTTATTTTTATTTCCTTTCTGCATGTTTATAGTTTTATGTTTGGAATTACAGATTTCTGCTAATAAACATGCAATTAGTGTTTGGTATGAGTCCAAATGTTAATAACTTGCAGTAAATATGGGAATTAATAATTTAAAAATTGGTATATACAGCTCCAGAGATAGTAGGATAGCAAATACTGAATTCCTGTTCAGCTAGACTCCTGGTGAGAAAACGTATCTGTGGCTTGGTCAGCTCATTCAACATTGTCTCTGGACTTAGGTTAGTCCACTGATTTGTTAAAAAAACTGAAACAAAATAGAAAAACCCAACTGCTTCTCTTTTATTATTCAGTAATACTTACTCTTAACAATTATCTTTACACACTACAGTGAAATAAATAAGCATTTCTGGGTTTGTATTTATGTTCGTTATCATTGTTATAACATTTTAAAGAGTATAATTTATAGTTTTCCCAGTGGAGTAAGGCCACTAGAGATGTGTGTTAAGGCCTGAACTATAGAATACAGTCATAAATGATGTAGAAAATTAGGTAAATAGTGAAGTTGCAGTGTGCTGAAGATTCTAAGCTCTTTCAGAAAGCTTTTATGGTCATAGATTATTGAATTTCATCTGCTATTTCGTCACTCTGTATAGATTAATGTGAAGTATTATATGTCAATGGAGGAAAAAGGTTCTATTTCTACATTAAATGAATTTCTGTATGTAACAAATCTTGAACTATGTATTATCACTCAGAAAATGTTATAGTATCTAGTTGTGTTTAAAACGTAGTTGTTGAAAGAGCAAAGAAAATGTTAGGACAGGAATAGAGAACAAAGTGGAAATCATTATTATGCTACTGTACAGATTGATGGTTCACTTACATCTTGAATATAATATACTGATCTCTATGTTGCATCTCAGAAAGGATATAGGAGAATAGAAAAGATATATTAAATACTGGTAGTGGGGGTGATCAGAGCTCTTCCGTTTGAGAAACAACAGAATGAGCAAGGATTTCTCAGGTTGGAAAAGGGACAGTGGAGAGAAGGGAGGGAAACAACACAGATCTTTATATTTTGAGTGTGATAAAGCAAGTGAACAAGGCACTATTGTTCGTTATCTCATCCAAAACCAGACCTAAGGATGTCAGATGAAATTGCCAAGAGGTAGACTCAAGACAAAAGCTGTTGAGATGTGTCTTCATATATGTATGGAAATAATTCCTGCAGGATGTTCTGGATGCTGCGAGTTTACATGAGTTTACCTGGGCAAACTCCTATGAGAAAAATTAACCCCAAATCAATACAAAGGCACAACCTCTGAGAATGTCCCTGAGCTGAAAGCTGTTGAAGGTGGTGTAGCGCCGTGGGGAGTATCTGCAGGGATTCCAGTTCTTTCCTGGGTATCCACTGTAGGCCACTGTCAGAGACAGGGTACTGGGCTGTGTCGGTGTTTTGGTCTGACCTTTTATAGCTGTTCATATGCATTTTGTTTCGTTTCTACATAACCCAGTGTTGTTCTGCTTTCCCATGTCTCGTCACCGACCAGCAATAAGAGAGGGACAGGCTGGCAGATACGCTTATTTAAATTTATAATTTACACATTAATTTCTCTTGATCTGGAACAGTTCTCCCAGTGCTGCTGTGGTCTCATTTCAGAAGTAAGATGTAAGGCAATGGTAAAAGAAACAAACAAACTAAACCAAATTACTCTTAAACACAAAACACTTTATATTGGCTTGAATCTATTTCATGTGAAGGATAATTTAAATTATATATCGTATTTACTTGCTACTGAACTAGAAAAATTAGAAGTCTTCTGATTGCCTAGGGGAAGAAAGCAAATCAATTATAGAACAATCAGCATTCTAGTTTTTATGAGGAAAAATAGTGTGACGAGATATGAAGAGAGACTTAACTCTAAGTAATTTTATTTCCATCCAGAAAAAAATCTATTGGCATGTTGATGATGTGTGTTCTGTTGTGTTATCTCTGGTTTATTACAGCACTGTTTTTTCTCTTATAGGTTAACAGAACCTTCTGGATATCTAACAGATGGACCAATAAATTATAAATATAAAACTAAATGTACATGGTTAATTGAAGGATAGTAAGTATTTATTTTCATAGCTTAAAATTTCTGTCGGTTTGGTATTTGTATGCTAGAGATCTAAAGAACTCCTCAAGTAGAAACTGCATCTGGATACAATATAAACAGTTTTGGGTTTCTTATTTGTTTTTTTTTTTGTTTGTTTGTTTGGGGGTTTTTTTGGTTGTTGTTGTTGTTGGTTTTTTTTAAATGTTATAAAGATTTAAAACAGTTGAAGTAGGATTTTCAGGATTGCTAAGAGTTGGCCAAATTCCATTCCCATTCAAATTGCTGGCAAAAGTTAGGCTGACATTGGAATTTGGCCCGTGCTGCAAGCTCTCAAAACCCTATGATAAATTCATTGCCTGTTTGAGTGCCTTTACATAAGTTACAAATGTAGTTACAGAATCCAATTATTTAACTCATTATCTTACTCTGCAGTGATGAATCAGGAATGGCTTCAAGTACAGAATGCTTCTAGTGGTCTAGTGATAACTATTCAGTTACATGTTGCTCAAAAGTTGGTGCTTCTATAAAGTATTGTCTTTTGCATTCTGGTTTTCCTAATTTACTTAATTTAAAAATCGTATTGTACCCGCAGTTTATACAGTTGAGATGTCTCACGTCTGTTGCTGATTTTTTCATTTTATGCAGCACAGAAAAGCACAGATATGCACAAAAAATAATGAGACATATGCACTAGTATGGATAACTGTTAAAGGCACAAACTGCTTAAATTTCAGTGGGGCTTTTTTCCCCCTGGGCTATGGGTCAGGATTTTGCTGAAGAATTTAGCTAGTTCCAAATTCTACTAACGTTCTAAAAGAAAATTACTGCCTTCTGTATTTCCATATTGTCATGATCTTAATTACCTTAGATGTCTGCTCTGTTGCTGTAGTTTGGTAATCTATCTGATCTAATATTGGTCTGCTTATATGCAGATAGTAGTTTAAACGCAACAGCAATGAAGTTATGGGTAGACTGCAAAATCATTTAAGTAGAAGCTTCAATATTTAGGTGACTAGGCTATAGCTGAATATCTTTCTGACATAGCTATACTTTTTTCTTTTTACCCAAGCTAGCTCAGGAATATTTGCACTGCACCACACTATGATAAGTGAAAACATGCCTCAGGACTGTGTACAAACTCTGCTTTGAAGTTGGTCTTCACTCTGTTCCTCCTCTTTGCAAGACATGGTAGAGTGAGTAGCTGGAGGAAACAATATGCTGCACAGTATGTGCAAGAGTAATGCAACCCAGTAACATAGTGCAAAATGTCAACACACAAGGAAGTCACATATGGATAAAATACTCTCTCAAAAAATGAACAAAGAGCTCTCTCCAAATGATCTCTCACAGGAAAAAAAAAAAAACAAAACAAACCAAACATACGTTTTCCAAACTGACAAACTACAGTCAAGGCTGTCAGTAGGGAGGGGGGTGGGGTGGGGAAAGAAATAAAAGAAAATCATCAGTATGTTGCAAGGAATATATTTAGGAGTCTCCTAATTTTGTCATATGAGAAAATTCCCCTTTCAGAAATCTTACAGTTCCCATCTGTATTTCTACCAAAAACCAGTGACATCTAACTCCCAAGTGTCAGATGCAGGGGGGCAGAGGGAGGAAAAAAAAAATCTTGCACTAGTATTGCTTGCCATTTTAAGGTTGTGGTTTAAGTTTTTTATTTCTAATAACTAGTATAATACTAGAATGAGGATGTGTAGGTCATTTTGTCTTGAAAGGCTCTAAACCTCATAGTCCTGACACTGTAAAGTAAATCCAGGATATTAAAATAGGGTATTTTAGCTGCTCTAAATTCATGGTTCTAAATACTGATAAAACCTGGTGAACTAAAGTCTCTTGTTAACTTTAGGGGTTATTAGGCTTACTTGGATTGAAGATGTTATTTTTAAAGTTTTCAAAGATAAAGTGAAATATTTGCTTACCCTGAATTGCCCTGTTATTTAACTCTTTGAAATGTTTAGTTAGTACTCAAAATGTTTTAACAGAGTTATGCTGGCATGATCAATTTTGTTGTAATTTCTTTATTTTATGAGCTCAGTACTTCTGTAAATAATGTTTTACATCAATGTTCTTTATTTTCAGCCCGAATGCAATACTAAGATTAAGATTTAATCACTTTGCCACAGAATGTAGTTGGGACCATATGTATGTATATGATGGAGATTCAATATATGCACCTTTAATAGCTGTATTTAGGTGAGTGCATTTCTTAGCCTTTTAGTCTAGCTAGTCATGTATGGACACTTAGTTTGTGGGGAAAAAAAAATAACATTAATTTGTTAAATATCTTGCTTTCTTTTTGTTAATATTGTGGGAGCATGCATTTAAAGTTATGTTAGAATAAATGTTAAAACACTACTTTTTTGGTTGGGTGATCATAGCAAAAGTCCATTATGTGGCTTTACTTAATGTTGACGTTGCGTGGATTGTTAATGCTCATAGACAGACGATCAGAAATGTATTTTCCAGTAGGCTTCCAACAGTGACTCCTGAGTTTTAATGCACACTAAATGTGGCATGTGTCAGTAGTGTCAGTGTCTGATCCAGTTTAAGGGAGAACTGCAATCTGTGACTCAGGCAATGCTGACTATGTGTTAGTTATAAAGAGTATCTACCTAATGCCTTCTGCCTTTCTGTATGAAGAACGAAGAGACTTGTTCAGGGCATTTGATAAAAAGGCCACCTTAAGCACTAACTTTGTAATGTTTCCTTAGATTGCTAAACTGGGCATCGTTGTGACTAAGTCATAGTGGGTAAAATTATCAATTTCTTTGAAGTCCTGCAGGAGGGCTCAAATTTGATATCAGCTGAAATTATGGGTTTTCTTTCATTTTTCTCATGTTATCATTAGTTTATGAGAATTGCTACACAACTAAATCTTTTTTTTTTCAGGTTAATCTTTGTTGTCTAGAATCATAATATAACTTTGTAGCAAGTTTTAGAAATAAACATAAAATGAACAAAAATAAACAATAACCATAACCACTAAACTGAATAAAGGCTAATTGCCTTTCAAATGACAATAAAGCGTTGAGGCAAAGAATTTGGTCCATGCACTGCATTTTGTATGTGTCCAAGAGAGAAAAAGTGGGGCAGGTGAATTGTAACCCTTGTTTCCTCCATTCCTGGACCAAAATTCCGTTACCAAAATGTTTCAGTTGGTTTATTCTAAACCTTCAGTTAAAATTTTGGGAAACATTCCAAAAAGAATATTATATGCAAGGCACAGGATCCTAATCCTTTGAATTCAGGAAGTTTTATCTTGGGATATCCATTGAGGAAAAGCTATATTAGAAAAAAAAAAAAAAAGAACCAACAAAGCAGAAACAGTTTGTGCATATATACACATATGCTCTGTGGGGCAGAAATTGAACTTCATTTTCTGTTATACTGATTATACCGCTGAAGTTTAAGAAATACTAATTGCACAGATGATAGTGGTTTCTCCTAAGGGAACAAGGCTCAGGTCATCCCTCTTTCCTGCCCAGCAATAGAAATCACACCACCTTCTCTCCTGATTCTCCTGAATTGTTACGTAATTGCTTGTGTTTTGTTTTTGTTGTTTTTGTTTTTTTTTTTTTTTTTTTTTTTTTTCTCTCCCCAAATTGTATTTGTTAAAAGTGTCTAGCTGTTATTCAGGAGCATTACTTGTAGCATGACTGGAAAGAAAGAGGAGGTTCTCTTCCTGTGTTCTTTACTTCAAATGTATTTTGGGATGTTGATTGTTAGTGTTTTCCTTAGGATTCCTATAACTTTTAATTTATATTTGCAATGTGGCACTGTTTCATGCGGTGATCCTTTTTCTCAGTACTTTGATATATTGCTTGTTTTTCCTACTTCAGTCTTACATTAAGGTATCAGTCTTGAATACTTCCTGAAGTTTTTGAGGTTTTTATTTTCCACTGAAAATTGCCTTTTCATGGAAGTTACTTAATTATCATACTTTCCAGGTTTGAAACTCTTCAAGATAAACTTCTAAAGGTGCAAATATTATGTGTAAATAGAATCTGTGCTGAAAGACAGTGAATGTTAAGCACCTGTCTGAAGGATATATTTTTTTTTCAAAGGTAAAATAGCTTTTAAAAATTACTGACGGTGGATGCACCCTCAGAATAATCCAATGTAAAATTTTACATTACTGTGTGTTTTTTGTTTTGTTTTCCTGGAAAACCCTACCTTACCTTCCAGACAAGTTTTAGATGCATTTTTATTATTTGCTTTTTAAAACGAAGTTTTATAATGAGATTTATGAATTATCTTGTCCATAAAAATAACAACCAGAATAGCTAACTCTTTCTTTCCTTTAGTTTTTTTTTTTTTTTCTCCTTGCAAAGACTGATTTAAAAACATTATTCTCATTTTCTTTTCCAGTGGTCTAATAGTCCCTGAAGTGCGTGGAAATGAAACTGTTCCTGAAGTAGTTACTACATCTGGCTATGCATTGCTACATTTTTTTAGTGATGCTGCTTATAATCTAACTGGATTTAACATATTTTACTCGTAAGTATATTTTTTTAATAAGTAATTACTTTGTTAATTAGCCTAACATTTCTTCTAGGAGAATGACAAACGCAGGGAAAGTGTTTATTGACTTTATGAGTAGTGTAAGAGTTATGCTTTGTATTGTGTTTCAAAAACCAGGGAGCTGGGGTTGTAATTAATTGTCATTTAGGTACTAGTTTAGAAAAAAGACAAAGAAAATGAGATCAAATATATTGATGGGCTTGAGAGGTGGGTCTGTGCAAACCTCATGCAGTTCAACAAGGCCAAGTACAAGGTCCTGCACATGGGTTGGGGCAACCCCAAGCACAAATACAGGCTGGGCAGAGAATGGATTGAGAGCAGCTCTGAGGAGAAGGACTTGGGGGGTGTTGGTTGATGAGAAGCTCAACATGAGCCAGAAATGTGTATTGCAGCCCAGAAAGCAAGCTGTGTCCTGGGCCGCATCATCAGAAGCATGACCAGTGGGTTGAGGGAGGTGATTCTCCCCCTCTACTCTGCTCTCGTGAGACGCCCCCTCCCCACTCCCCCCCACCGCAGTCCTGCATCCAGCTCCGGAGTCTTCAGCACAGGAAGGATATGGACCTGTTTGAGCAGGTCCAGAGGAGGACACAAAGATGGTCAGAGGCTGGAGCACCTCCCATAGGAGGACAGCCTGAGAGAGTTGGAGTTGTTCAGCCTGGAGAAGAGAAGGCTTTGGGGAGACCTTATAGCAGCCTTCCAGTACTTAAAGTTGGCTAGTGGCAAGTTGGGGAGGCACTCTTGATCAGGGAGTAGAGTGACAGGATGAGGGGTAATGGTTTCAGGCTGAAAGAGGGTAGGTTTAGATTAGACATTAGGAACGTTTTTTCTTGTGAGGGTGGTGAGGCAGTGGCCCAGGTTGCCCAGAGAAGCTGTGGATGCCCCCTCCCTGGAGGTGTTCAAGGCCAGGCTGGATGAGGCTTTGAGCAACCTGGGCTAGTGGGAGGTGTCCCTGCCCATGGCAGGGGGGGTGGAACTTGATGATCTTTAAGGTCCCTTCCAACCCAAACCATTCTATGATTCTGTGATATTGTTCTGAGTGAAGCTGCACAGCCATTCCAAAAGTATGGTTTTCGTGTGCCATATGGAACTAGAATGTATCCCTTCCAGTATTTACCCAACATGTGTAGTTGTCATATGGAATAGAAGGGAGATTATATCTGCTGTCATGTCAATTTTGTTCTCTTGAACTAGGATCATCTGTTGCTTGATTTTTCTTGCTGAATGTACTTTTATGGCTTTTGAAACCTTCACCAAAGTCGTACTTTTATTTTTGTGCCAGCCACAAGGGTTTTATTCCATTTCTTCTCTACTTTTCAAGTACTTTCTACTTCTATTGTCCATCTCAGTCTACATTCTGCCTTCATAGTTCTTTTCTGGACTGTCTTTTAGTTTCTCTGATGGCGAAGTCTAGTCCGGTATAACTGTGTTTGCTTTCCTCCAGTCTGATTTTGTATGTCAGCAGCTTTAAAGATACAGCCTTTTCCTTCTTATATGCACCAGCTGTTGATTGCAAATTCTGTCTCATCTGCAACATGCTTGTGACACACTCTTTATACTGGATAATTTAGTTCAAGAGAGGATTGCTTGATCCTGTTGGACTTGTTGCTTCATGTGATAGTTTTCCCATGATTGAAGATACTCTTCTTCCTTCCTTTCAATTCTTTCAGATTCTGAAATACCACTTTTTGGGATGTGGTGGCCAATATTCCACTTCAATTGTGGAAGTACATGTAATATTTTTGTCATATTCTTTATTAATTTAAAATTCCTATTTGTGCTTCTGATTGTAACTTTACTTGTCAGATATCTTTGTCAAATTGTCTGTGGACAGATTGTTTCTGTAATTTGCAGCAGTTTACTTACCCTTTACCAGATAATAAATAGCTATTCAGGGTTTCGGAAACCTCACTAAATATGCTGTGCTGGAAATGGCATTCTAGAAGACTGGATACTTTGAATTTTTGTCAGTTGACATCAGTAAAATGCAATCACCTGGCAGACTTCTCTACTGTAATTAGATACATTTTTCAGTTATCTCTGAAGCTTTTATTGCACTTTTTTTTGTGTGTCTTGGGAGCAAATGGCAATATGACATGGCATTCTTAAGAAATGAGCGTATGTGCTCAGAATTCTTTTAGGGCTTGGTAATGTGGTGCATGCTACATATCATTACCTAATTTTTTGGAAGAGTTAAAATAAATGAAAAAACTGCCGGTGTTAAATTCCATTACATATATAGATCATGGAATTTTATGTCCTCTGTTCTTCTGTTTCTTCTATTGCAATGGATACTTTCAAAGTAAATTTGTTTTTTTTTTTAATGAATCAACAGTAACTCTTTTTGTGCTAGAAGAAGTATCTACAATTGCTTTTTACAGCTGCATTATGTTTTTTTTTCTGTCACTGATCTGGTGCACTCTGCTTCTGTTACCCTCTTTCTTCCTTGGTTTAGTAGACCTAAGCAGTTTTTGACTTCATCTTTGACTCCATCTTGATGGGCCACTCATGTCCCTTTATTTTGGGGAAGACAGAAGCATGACATCTGTGACTAAAATGCCATGCCAGTTGCACCTAACAATAGTTTCTCCAGAACTCAGTACATTTTGTGTTCCTTGGAGTCAGGCAATCTGCTTCCAACTCAGATAACCCATTTTTTCCTTATTCCATTTGAATCCTTAACAAACCCATTGGAATGGGAATATGTCTAATTTTAAACTAGTGTCTCTATTGCTGGAAAGGCTTAACTATTCACCTTCCTGCAGAACCCCCTCCCTATGAAGTCAAGGGGAGAGGTTCCTCACAGCTGTGGCATACAGCAGTTAGTGCCATCAGTGGTTTTATTTCATGTGTGTTACCAGGCAAAACCCACAGGACATTTACAGTTCACACATGGAATTTTATTTTCCAGTAGTGTAACAGAATCACTCGTCTGAGGTGTGAGTCTTTAGAAAATGAAAACATCTCCTGACTGTCCTACCACAGCTACGTTTGGCCAAAGGCTAGCCTTGAACACCTCCTCACTAACTTTTTCAGTTCTTTCTTCCTTCTGTAAGAGCAAGGAAGGCAGTGAATGGTATCCAGCTCTCCCATCTCCAGGGAGCGGTCTGCATTATCATCAGGGGTTTGTAGTAACAGTTTATTCTGATTTTCAAACCAACCCTTTGCTTTGAGTCATCAAAATTGGTTTCAGATCCTTTTTGGACTTCATCAAGTGTGTACTGCCTGAGTCCCATATTCTGTTTATGAAGTCTCTTAGATCCACATACTTCAATGTCCTCCATCCCTCTTCATCTCCAAGGAATTGCCTGCACTTCTAGAATCAGCTTGCGTGATTTTGCAGAATCCGATTGCCTGTGATCTCAAGTGTTTAGTAGGATGTGTCACAGAAATGCTAAATCCCGTAGCAGTCACAGGCTTCTTCCAGGCTAATCTTTCCTCTTTTTGCATCTGACTGCAGAGCTAAGGAGGCAAGGATAAGGTGGCCCTGTTATTAAGGATTCAAACCGTAAAGTGCTACTTTTTGCTAATTTCAGGATTTTTCCTTGCTTGGATTTCCCAATTGTTTTCTCCTTGGATGTTAGACATTGTTTTATAGTATGGACCAAAGCCACTCAGGAAAACCCTTTAGCTGTGCCTGTGGTGGAGAATTTGAGTTACTGCTCACAGTCGCTTCCAGTGTGGATGTTCTTAGAGATAACAAGCATTTGAAGGGACTGACTACAGAGTGCTTATACTGGAACATGGGAAAAATTAGATGTTGGTCTGTCCAGGCAGAGCCTGTCCTTCTGCCTAATGTCAATTCTTCTTAAAGTACAAGATGTTTGTGATCCTTACAGACTTTGTATGTAAGCCTGGATGAACAACTTTTCAGCTCACTTGCCTGTAAAATCATAGTTAAATTTGTGTTTTATGAGTACATAGAAATTTTTCAGGAAAAGAAGTGCTTTATCTAACAAATGCTGTTGGAAAACTGTCAGAAAAAAAACCACTGTCATCAACTCTTGGCTTGTTATTTCCCTTACTTTACATATTTTTTTTCAGCATTAATTCTTGTCCTAATAACTGCTCAGAACATGGAAAGTGTACAACCAGTGTGTCTGTACCAAGCCGGGTGTACTGTGAGTGTGACAAGTACTGGAAAGGAGAAGCCTGTGATATTCCCTATTGTAAAGCCAACTGTGGCAGCCCAGATCATGGGTACTGTGATTTGACGGGTGAGAAGCTGTGTGTTTGCAATGATAGCTGGCAAGGTAAGGTTTTGTTATTTGGAATCAAGTTAATCTTTAAAAAAGAACTGCTTTTAATACATTCTATCTATTATGCAAATTAGCATCTTTAAAGAATAAAGATAAATGAAAAAATAATTCCTGGAGTAAATTTTCGTATGGACCCAGATGTGTGTACTTTAATGACATAAAAGGCTCACAGCATTGATATTTTCTGTCTGAAGATACTGCAGAAATATCTGAATATCTGACCTAAACTTTCCTGTGGTGGGCATTCTTCTTTTTGGATCACTGATTTGAGAAAATAATGGCAGTAATTCCTCAAGAATTGTGAGCATTTCTGGAGACTTAAGTTCCTCCACAGCCCAATTTCCAATTATATTATTTTTTTTAGTGTCTAGGTAGATCTAATTGTCTTCCTCCCTTTCTTAATGTCACATTATCTCATCATATTTTTAGCGCTTTGTGAAGAAAGTATTCTCTGTCTGGTTTTTATATTATTTGCATAGTCTCTCAATGAAAAAGGAAGGTAAGCTTATTTGTTACAATGATACAAGAATGTGTATGTGGACACCTACTGTGATCCAGGATGTCCTGTAAGCATGTGCTGCAATTTTACTCCCAGTACCATAAATAATTGTTTCTTATTAAAAGTCAATTATTTAAGGTCCTAAATGTTTAATTCACTTACTATAATTATGCTAGATGTTCATGATTTATTTTTTCTTTTTATCCCTTACCGTTCCTATTAAAAGTCTCAATTGGGTTAGCTTACTATACATCGAAATTGCCATTCTTCTCTTAAAAGAAATATTGATATCTCCAGATTACTTAGCTGATATTCCCATTCCCTATTCTTATTACTTCCTGCCCCTACTTGAGTTTTACAGCTGTTTCTTTTTGCATGTCAGAGGAAACTACTTTTTTACTCTTATTAGCTGTCACACCTATTAGACCAAAGACACCATGAGATTTAATGCATTTGTCGTCTTAATAATTAATGAAGTTGTTCATTAAAAGGCAGTCACTGCATCCACAGAAGGGAAGTGGGTTAGCGAAATATGGCCGTTGAATGGAAACCATGCAGTTAATGAGTCCTCCGGAACCTTTCGTGATTGTGATGCATAAAACAAGATCCTGAAAGCTTGATCTCTGTAACAAAGCTGTGAAGAGAACTTGCAGGAAGAACATCACCCTTTATTTGTGCATTGATTCCTTGCAATTTCAGACCACTGTGTACAAAATAAGGAAAAATCCTCAATCTTTGGAAAAGCTTTTTAGGCTACACCCTCATTGACAGTGCTATAATCTTCGCTAGAAATTTTTGGCATGAAATAAAGTTAGAATTTTAACTTTCACTGTTAGTACTTTTTTTAAATCTAGCATTTCTGCGCATACTAGCTTCCCATTCTTTCCTACAGTAAGAAGGATTATATAGAAATAACTTGCTTAGTTGTTCCTTGGGTTTTCACCAAAGCCCTACATAGTTTTCAATTATTTTTTTTATTTATTCCGTTTCAGATAAGCTGGCTTGCATACATAATTGTATTTCCCTATTAAATACAAAACAATGCAGAACTTTCCTTAAGCTCTCTGTGAGGCTACTTGCTTCTCTGTTCTATGTATTTATTTGTATCTCTGTACTCTCTTTATAATTTCTACACTGACAGTATCTTCCGGGTAGGTTATTTGCAATGCTGGAAACATAAATGCTTTTACTTATCTCTTACTACTCTTTCTGTCTGTCTAATTTTTCTTCTGTTTTGGCAATTCAAACCAACTGGCTAAAGTGCGGTCTTGATTTCTGTGTGTTTGAAGAGAATTTTGTTTTATTTTTTCACAAATTTTTTCTTGGAGTATGTTTAGTTCCTTATATTAACAAAAGATTAATAGGATTGTGTTGCCTGAATTCTACAGTAAATAAAACTCATGGTTCAGAACATAAGAAGGGTATTTCATGTTTTACAACACATGGGGTTTCTTTCTTTTACAATGGTGACATCTTGTGGATGCTGTGGAAGGAGCATCTCTGAAGAAAATTTCGCATTTAGAACGACTATTTTGAGAAAAGAGAATACTGTTCTTTGGGATGGAAAAACTGTTTTGTCTAAAAAGTAGGGTCCTCTTGTTGTTAGATACAACATATTTTGTGGAAGAAGAATAATGTTAATGTTTGCAGTTGTCTGTTAGTTGTACAAATATAGAATAATGCCATGACAGTAAAAGCTTTTAGACTTAGAAAGCAAATAATTTAATAATAACAATAATTTTATTTTAAACAAAAAGCACATTTAACAAAAATGTACTTGTTAAATGTACTTTTTATTAAAAAGTATTATTTTTCATAATGCCAATAATGTTTAGTATGTTAAATGTTTCTGAGATGGTTGGTCTCAGAAGGACATACAGGAGGAAAATTTAGCATTTACTTAAAATCTGGCTAGTTTAAAATATTCAGGTGACATAAAGGAGGCTGAAGTTTTTTCCTGAAGAGTGATTCCTTTTGAGTACTGCATCATATTATGCTGACCCATTACTGGCTAAATTGTCTTGATGTTGTAAAGCAGAATGTGTTGATGTCTGCTGATACAGCCTGTGGATGTAACTGAGGGAGAAAAAAACAGATGTCTCAGAACTACAGGCTTGCTCTCTTTTTCTCTGCTAGGCTTCGATAAAAAAGAAATGAGGACTTGTCTGAGATGAAAGTGGTGGCTCTTGTACTACTTGACCTTTTTAAGAAGTTGAAAAGATAGTTTAGAGGAAGACTTTACCTTTTGCTGAATATGTGTTTATAGCCAGCAAATTCTCTTTGATACCAGGAACACTGTGTCTTGGAATGTCTTGGACTGTAAAGGAGCAGAGGAGATTTCAAAACAGTGAACTTCTGTACTGGGTTTAAAAATTCAGGATGACTGGCAGCATTGCAAACAGTTCCACAATTTTAAAAGGGTTAAGTGGACTGTCTTTGGAAATGCTGAATATATTGCTAAATGCTATGAATGTGTTGTATGCCTTTTAGAAGTACTGTTACAGGTCTTCTTGGTAGAGATGTTCTTTGATTTTGTCAAGGAGCTTGATTTAATAGCATGTAAAGGGAATAACTAGCCTGCTACTTATTTAATAGGTTAAAAACTATTTCTCAGAAGGAAATAAAAGTATAGCTACGTGTAAAATATGCAGTAGCCGAGTCATTAATTGGACAACTTTCCAGTGACCAGTTTTTGTCTGATGTTAAACAACGTTTTTATAAAAGCTCTTGATTACCATGTATAATTTTTCCTGATTAAATTTTCAGGTAAGATAATAAGATTCACTGTGTGGTAAACAAAGGAAGACAGTGTCATTTTAAAGAGCTGTAAATCATCCAGTTCAAAGTCATAATTTAAAAAATTGTCTTAATATCACTTAATGTAAAATGATCTAGGAACAAAGACTGCAGACTACGCTGGCAAATGAAAGACTATCTTAGAGAAAGATTGTTAAGGGGCTTGTAAATCACTGTGGGTAGTTTTTGCATGAGCAATTTTGAGTAGAGAGTGAGAGACCCTTTCTCTGAGACAGACATTTGGGAGGTAACATTGGATTGTAGTGCCCAGTTTAGGGACTGGCACTTTAGGGAGGAGTTGTAAATACCGGTGAGAGCTCAACTCATGCTACAAAACCTATATGCTTACTAGGAAACAATCCTGTGATGGGAAGGTTGAGGAGTTAGTGGTGACTCTAACACTTAGTGGGAATCCTCACTGAGAGCTCCTACACAGGTGTGGTATCTCCCTGATCCAGTGTGATGGGAGGATGCTCTTGGTGCTGGTACCTTTTGCACTGGGTGTGAAAGGAAAAAAGAGTTGAAAACTCTCTTGAATTTAAGAGGAACTTTATTGTTATTTTGATCATTGAGCATCAATGCTAGAAGTGTAAAGGGGATCTAATAGGGAGGAATTACAGAGTGTGTTTACATTATTCTTTAAGAGGATCAGTAGAGCACCTTTGGAGTAATTCTGATCAGCCACCTGTACTGTGTTGTGTCTTGCATGGTGAGGTGGTTTGAAAACGCAGGAACAACATTCCTTTTAGATGAAACTATACTGGAAGATGAGCTCCAGGGCTGCACATAGTGCACACCAGCCACAAATGGGCCTTCAGTCCTAGGGATCAGATTTAGTCCAAAGTTAAAACACCAGTAAAAATTACAGGATGTGTATAGTCAGTTATTTCTCCCTGCAGATCTGCTCCTAGCAGATAGAGATGTAGCAGAAGACCAAATTCTGAAATTCAACTAATTAACTTTGAAATAAGTCTATTAGCAATTCTGGCAGCTTGAATTTTATAACATCTCTCTGGGGAGAAAATGAGCCTTTATGTAAGGAGGAAATTAAACAATGAAAGTATAAAAGGAGTGCTATGACTGCTGCACTGTAAAATTCAGGATTTTGTGTTGCTCATTGCTATGGTGTTTATTTTAACCGTATCTTAATTCTAACTGTATCTTAAGTATGGCCAGAACTATGTCGATGTGTGGCTATATTCGACTTAGATTATCCCTAAAGAACTAACTAGAGTTGAGTTCATTCCCACTGCTTCAGTGGAGGGCTTTGAGGTCACACTCTCTTGTTTGACCTGCTTTATTCCTTGATGCTGAGAGGTAGCAAAGCTGTGCTTCTGTGGTGGTGGTTCATTGAAACCGATGGAGAAGGTTTGAGATGTGAGCTCAGGCAGTAGCAGTTGAAATGCAATGCTGGAAGAAGCTTGTGCCAAGTGCTGAGGGGTCTGAGATATTGGCCTGTTGTGCCTGGATGTTCTTGAACAGAAAGCATACAGGTACATATTTTTTCAGAGAAGGGGACCTGTGACCTAACATTTGCTTTGGACAAACCTGGTTTTGTATGGAAAAAAAAAAAATTAGAAGCAGTTATCTTATAATTCTTCTTCCCTGTGATAGTCCCCTCTTTGTCTGGATTTTGCTTTTCAGGTTTTCTTCTGGCCGAGTATCAATTCAGTCAGAAGTAACTGCAGTTTTACAGGAC